TCGATGTATGAGACGATATTTATGAGTTCGAGAGTTCGGGGAGGTATTGTAGGCCGCTTGTATTCCTACCTCCCTTGTCGCTTACGGGAACTCATTCGAAATTGTCAATTTCGCCAAGTTGCATCTCGCCGTTTCGTTAATGAACAAACGCTGCCGCTCCATGAAACATCTTTCCGCCAGAACGACTTTTCCCCCCAAAGCTTTCTAAAGATCTCGATGGGGATCAGTGCGACGCTCGGGCGCACATCAATGCGCGCGCAGAGGCACACGCGGCGTATTTTCCATAGCGAAAATCACTTTGCATGTTCTCGATCGTAATCAAATCCTCTCGAGACCAGCCGAGTTATTAATCGTCATTAGCAGCGACCTTTCGTTCCTCTCCGCTTTCGCCGAGGGCAGGGGAAATTTCAACCAGGGCTCTTCTCCGCTACTATGTGCCGGAAGTTCAGCTCGCGTTTGTTACACTCCTCTTGATCGGACGTAGCTATCGATTCGGTTCTGACCGAAGAAAAATGGTGGCCACTCTGCGTCCCTCTCCGGAGATTGACTCCCCGATCACAAAGCGCGAGAGTATTCTTCCCTTTCACTTTTTCGCTTCTTCCTCCCCACGTCCATCATGGCCTTTCCCCTCCTCCCCCCCCCTCCCTCCGGGGAAATGGGAGCCGCAATTAGTTGGAATTTTCAACGTGACACTCACGTTGATGGCCACGTCACCGGTCGTTTTGGTGCTACGCTCGCTAATTGAAGCGGTGGAATGAAAAAACTCGCATTCCTCGCTGGAAAAAGTCACCGTATGCACATCGATTGCTCCTGGACGATAGCGTAGCGAACCCGCGACCACATGCAAGAGGTGAGTCGCACGCTCGCTCGACCTGAAAGTCTCGCGTGAAGCGGGCATTACGGCCGGAAGTTTCGTGCGCGGAGCCAGGCTAGTGAAGGTAGTTAGAGATTCTTTAATAACAAGAGGAAGAGGACGTTCCCTCGGGGGAGGGAAACTTAATTAAGTGCTAGTGGCGGGCCGGAATTTTTTTGCGGCCGTGTAATAAAAGATTATGCTAACATAAGGTATACAGGGCTAACGAACGGGCGGGTTTCGCGTTGACTCTCGAGTTCGCACCGCCACCGCCTCCGCCACCTCCGCCACCTCCGCCGTTTCCTCTCCCTCCGCCGCCGCCGCCGCCGCCATCGCTTAGAGGGGAACGAATTAAATTACGTTGTCGGCCGTATATTTTTTCTCGGGGCGCGGGATTGAAACGTTCGTCTATATCTCGTAGAGCCCCAGTCCCGGCTGCGATGAGTGTATCACGGGGGTTGTTCTTTCCCGAGGCGCGGGTAATTTAGGCAGCGCGCGGCGGATTTATATTCGCGATGCTTTGCGAGCGATTCTTTCATAAAGTGCCACTTGATTATCTGTCCTACGCGCACGGTGTCTATTTTGTAAACGATATTTTACGTCGTATTGTTTCGACGGGGAATGAAATGCATAATACACGCGGGGGAGAATATCTATAAAGAGAGCGCCGCGTAAGGAAAGATACCGGGTGATTTGGAGGGAGAGATATTTCGCCGAATGCGCGAATATTCTGGAGTTTTTGTGTTTAAGTTTGTGAAAATTATCGTTTTCAACGCAAATCCCCCGATTAACCGCGGTTGCAAATGAGGTTGATGGTAATGGCGATAACGACCGTTTGTACTGGATTGACGTATGCGTTCTCGGATCAAATTACAGCGTTAAGAAGATCAGGACACCGTTGTGCAGCGCCGGGGATTATTATTATTCCATCGAACGTCGCATTATTATGCGGTGGGTCCACTCTCTCTCGTCGCGTCGCGCAATGTTAGGTAATCCACGTTGCTCGGACGAGCGAGATCGCGATTCGCCATGCAACCCGAAATTATGCGCGCTATCATTTCTGCCGGTGAATTAATGTAAACAGCCGCGATATAATGCCCGAACGGCGGCCGAATAGCATCAATTATGTCGGCGCGCGTGTAAATAAGTGCCGAGCGCGCTACGAAAATTATTATAATATATCCGCGCGACAAGCGCGTTTAATTGCACGGCGCGTTTGTCGCGTTCGTCAACTATTATTAATCGCGGATCCCGACTAACGTTAATTATCCGTACTAGATATATCGATTTGCCCCATTCGAGATATTTTCTCATGTTTGATCGCTGACCTATTCCCTATTCCGTTACACAGCTCGACATACAAACATCGATTTTATATAAAAGACACATCGTCTATTTTTTACTAATTTAATACTAATTTAATAATCTTTTTATGTTTTAATGTGATTACAGTCTTGAAAATTTTTGATCACGTTACGCAGTTTTGAGTTAATGTTAAAGATGTTTTTGCTTATTAAATTCAATATTATTAAATTTAATTATTCAATGTAATATAATATTATATTTCCAACTTTGAAATAAATATTACTTTACAAAATTGAATAATAATCAACATGTGATTTAAAAATACGAAGATAAAATAAAAAATTATAAAAAATAAAATATAAAATTTATAAAAATTTATAAAAATTTATAAAAATTATTATTAAGCAATATAATATAAATCGGAAATAGGAATAATATATTTATTCCTCTTAATCATTGGAACGAATTTCATTTTAGGATTTAAAGTTTTAACAATGTATTTAATTTGGAACAAAAGTGAAAACAAAATTGAATGGAAAAAAACTTTTCCGGCAAGTAGTATTCCGCAGCTGTAACATGATAAAAAGTATGTTAAAAAAGTACTCTTTTGCGAGTGGAATATTAAATTTCTTCATATTGTAACGTAATAGAGCATTTTGTAGACCGGAATTGTATTCAGCATAAAAAGTAAATTACGAAAAATGATTATTTTGTTTTTTTACAGATTTAAAAAAAATTCTTTCTTTTTCAAGCTGTATTATAGATGATAATGGACTTTATCTTGCCAACGCGAAGATTACACAATTCAATCTCGACACGTAACGAGGGTAAATGCATCAAGTAAATGCAGACTGAAGTTACAGCTTTACATCTCTCTCTCTCTCTC